ACACACACACACACACACATATATATATATATATATATATATATATATATATATATGAACCTACCATACATGTTTTTTTTAAGTTTGTGATCATGAATATTCAATGAAACGAAGTTTATATATTTTTATTATAAATTCTTAAAATAATTTTCTCAGATTAATCATTTTTTTCCTTTGATTATATACAAAATAGTGAGACTTATTTTTTTTATTAAAATTGTTTTTAATATCATTCCAAGTTTTTTATTTAAAAAATGATGTTTATAATAAAAAAATATTTTTGTTAAAAAAATACATATAATTTTTATTTTATTTTATTAAATCCATGTATCAATTTTTCAATTCATAATTAGATTTTTATATGATGCTAAAAAATGTGTTATCAACACCTTGTAGGTTGGCTGGTTACTACTTTGAGTGCTCATATTTTGATTTTTGACACGTAGCTTAAACGTTTACAAACTTGTTACTCTTGGTGCTTTCATTGTAGTAATCAATAGTTATTTTTTTATAATTTAGTCCTCAAACTTGATCTCTTCAATTGCATCCTTTTTATGCTCAAATCATGAGTAATTTATCAAGAATTGTTAAGGAGGGCACAATTGAAAGAAAAAAGTAGAACCAAAGTGTAAAACAATGAGAAAAGGGTGGCATTTTAACAAATAAGGGAAAAACTCACTTTAGTCCATTTTTTAAATTATAAATTTTTGGTCCCTTAATATTTTGAATTTTCAATTGCAATACATAATTTTGTTTTTTTTATTTTTCAATCTATAGCTTGAGAGAGGAAAGAGAAAATCACTAGATTTTGGTTGTAAAGAATCTCAGTTGATATCAATTTAATTCATGAAAAGATTGATATTGTTATCATGAGTTTTACTTGTGTTGGGGAAAAAATTATTTGACCAACGATTAAGTGAGTCTAATAAACATGTTAATATTTTTTTATTTATTAGCATAATTAATTCTTGATTTATTTAATTAAATAGAGATATAAGTTTTTCAATTTATGATTAGGATTTGTTCTTTTGTCCAAAATCACGATGAAAAAGCCTTCATATTCATTATTGTTTTTTGCATAAAAAAGTTATTTGACTATTTTTAAGTCTCTAAATATATGTATCCTTTGAAATGAATTTTTTAATTTATATGTAAATTAATACTTTTTTTCTAGTTGTTTATATTATTTATTAAGCCTTTTTTAAACAGAAGTTGTTTTTTAATTATTTTGTATGTATTTAATGTTTTAAGGAGATTATTATAATTCATCTTTAATTTTTTAAAAGGTTTAATATAAATAAGCTTTATTTTTAAAAATAAAAATTATTTATTCTCAATAAGAAAAAAGTAATCTTTAAGAGAGAGAAAAAACATGTAATTTAATTGAACAGAAAAGTTAAAGTTAAATATTATACTTATGTATCTTTTACTTTTATGAAAATGACTAATCTTTTATTTTATAATCTTATTGGTATTAAATGTTCTTTTTCAGTTTAACAATGCATATATTTTAAGATTTATTTCATTTAGCATAAATAGTATTGTTTTTACATTTTTCATTTAAGAGAATCATGATACAGTAAAATATACTCACAATATTATCTTAATATTTTTCTACTACATTAAAAATTGATCATGTACATGCCATTGTGTTAAAAACTTTTGTATATATATTTATTATCGCAAATGATCCTTGTTTTTATTTTATAAAATGTAGAACATCAGCCTTTTTTTTAATATATATATATATATATATAAAACATGTTAACAACATACACACATTTATTTAGTTTTGCATTGAAAAAAAAAATATTTGACCAATGATAAAGTGACTTGAATAAACACATTAATATCTTTTTGCATTTATTGATATAAATAGTTCTTGATTTATTTAATTAAATAAATATATAAGCTTTTCAATTAGGATTTGTTTTTTTTGTCAAAAAAACACATTGGCAAAGCCTTTATTTTCATTATTTTTTTGCATAAAAAAATTATTCGACTTGAGAGGAAACGCTAATTAAATAGCTATTTGCTAAATATATTATGTTAACAAGGTAGGTTTTGGTTATTATCCTGTGACAATAAATACAAAAATAGTAGAAATAGAAATGTGCTCGTTTGAAAAGATAGAAACATAAAAATAAATATGTTTCTAGACAATGGTGGAGTAAATTTCTATATTTTTAAAATAAAAAATATAGAAAAGACATCTTTTAAGAGACAATATCCATTATTTTTTATTTTAAATATATTCTTGGTAAAAAAAATAAATACAAACCTTGTTGAATTAAAATATATAAAAATAAAAATAGTTATTATTATAATTTTAAAAACTCAACTAAGGTTAAGACCTGAGTCAACTCCTGAGTTAACTCGAGTTGACTAATATATATATATAATTGAAAAAATATTGTTTTAACCCAAAAATTAAAATAAAAAAAAAATCATTTGATTTTTTACTTGAGTTTGCCATAGGTCAACCAGATCATGAGTTGACCCAATTTTTTTTATCATTTCATGTTGGATTAAATCTTTCTTTATTTTTTTAAACTCAAATCTAGGCATTAGGTTGATGATAATCATGGTTTTATAATTAAGGTTATTATATAATTATTAATTTTGACATTTAATATAAATTAAAGTTAAAAAAATAAATATATAAGTTTAACAATAATTAAAATTAAAATAATTTTTTTAATATTTTTTTATATTTTGTTTAGTATCATATAAAACAAATTACTATATCTTCGACACCACTAACAAATACATTTTTGTCATCATCTTGTACTATGTCTTGTCTCGTTTATCCTCGCCGTTTCTCTATATCATATATTTCAGGAAAGTAAACAAATGTTACCTCAGTGAACTCTTATGTTAAGTTAGGTTTCTACATGCGGGTCAGATGATTGAAACAAATGAGAGTGCTGCTGGCCATTATCTGTCCGCATCCTATGATGCAGCTAGGAAAGTGCTTAGTTTGGTGGTTCCTTGAGCTTTTCTATTCGGTATATGTGATGTGGGGCTTGGTTTCCTGACCTTTCGCTCCCACATGCACCCTCTCCAAAGTATATGATAATTAGAGGAGAAAGCTGGCTGCCTAACTTTGTGGTCGCTTTAGCAGTCGCGGGGAATCTTTAAATATGTAAATTGAGGGCGACTGGAAACAAAGCTAGATTGGCCCCTCTAAATTTCTTGGCTTTCTTTTTCCATGAATCAATTCATAAGCCAATATACTGTAAAATTGGCATCAATCGTTTTCCCTTAGCTGGAACTACACAGCCCAGGTCCTCTTGCAACCGATTTCCATTCCTTTTCACAGCCCGAACGACGACGAATTAAATCGTTTTCGAAACGTAGCTGAGGGACCAACAGACATGGTTGACGGGGACATAAGGCAGTTCGATGGCTTTCGCAAGTCACAACTGTGGTCAGAACCGAGTGCTGTGCAGGTTAGAGCTCTTGTTACTTGATCCATTAACTGTAGACGCTACTGGCTGCTTATAGTGGTAGCATATATACATTAAGGTTGAAGTGGATGGCTAAGACGTTAGGGAGGCATGGTTCTTTCCTGAGCCTCCAAATTTTATGTAGGAGAGGCTATGGAATGGAAGGATTTCTGCTGTATTGGTGATTACAAAGAGACTGGAAATTAGGTTAGTTTGTCTCTCTCTCTGCTTTTTTCAGCCTTCGGCCCTTTTTTGTTGCCTTAGAAAGAAAAAAACAAACGCGGATCTCAGCCTTTCTGCAAGGCCTAAAAAGCTAGAGCCCTCGTGATGATTTTGGCTTTCGACACCAAAGTAGTGTATTGCATTTACAAAAAAGAAAACGAGATATAAAAATGTCTTGGGTTTCCACATGTTGCAGCTGGTGTGCGTCCCAATATATACTATTCGTTGACGCAGGAGATTCCTTAATTTCATGGGGGCAAAGACAAGAGGAAGCGAACTGCAAATTTAGTACTAACGGTGGATCGATTTTTTATTCAAGTATCCAATTAACCTGTAATTTATCTATTTGAGTTGAGTTGCTTGTTTTTAATTTATATTTTTTCTCATCTGTCTTCGTATCAAGAACCTGTATGGCAACATGTTGCCCTACAGGTGAAACATGTGTTTCGGATAAAAAAAAACATAAAAGAATAAAAATATATTTTTATGCAAAATACAGGTTACATATATAGCAGGTGTACTACAGAGCCTCAGTTACACAGCAAACAAATGTGGATTCATGTTGAAAAATGTGAAAATGAATGTAATCAAGAAAATAATAGATTAATATCTTAACTACCTTTAACCTTTTTACAGAAAAGGCAAATCGAATGTATCATCATCAAGAAGAAGAAGCCAAGTCGTCTTCCCTAATCTCATTTTATTACCATTTGTGTATATTAATTAAATCTCATATTTTTGGATGAACATAATTAACTTCTTTTCTGAGGCTTTAGTGGGTTTTTTTTTTATTCCAGTGCTTCCACATAGAATAGTATTTTTTATATATATATTTTTATTTTATTAGAATTCTTAACTATTTTGAGACAATTATTGGGTTTTTAAAATGCTTTTGGTGCCACCACGTATGATGACATGTCATTTTAATTCTTATTATGTATTTTGTGGTCTTTTTTTCTCCAATTTATATATAGGATTAATTTCTATTGAGATCTTTAAGAATTATAATACATCATGATGGGTAATCGGATAGTTGTTTTAACCCATCCCAACATCATGGATGAACATTTTAGCACCACCAATATGAATGAAACACCATTACCGTGGTTGTGAATTTCAATCGGTGTTGATTTGGCTTTTAAAGGGGTACTAAAATGGTCTTTTACATCCAACGTAAATTCTTATTTTATCAACATTTTATTTTGTTTTCATTTTTTTTTTTACAATGTTAATTAAATATTCATTTTCTCATTATTTTTTCCAATCTCAACCCACATGTGCATGGGATAACAATCATCACTTTTCTAACGTCAGGCATGAAGAATACTGCATTGAAAAATAAAAGTCGAGGTACTCAAATAAATAATATTGAATTTGAGATACTCAAATAAAAATTAAATAAAAGATTGGGCCCTAAATAATTCGTTTTCTCTTTTTCCAATTCATGTCCTTATTTTTGGCACCTTATTTTTGGCATGGAAAGAGATATAATGGCCATGTTACCAATGTATTCGTGGAACTAACTAACCATGGGTGTCACATTTGGAAAATTAAAGTGAGCAACTTGAATAAGTTGATTAGAGGTTGGGTACTTAAAATAGAACAATATTAATCAAGGATAGTATACCAAATTCACATTTTTGTCAAAGTTGATTGATGTTTAATAGAATTAAGGTGCATGGTTTCTAATTTTTGAATGTGTTTATGTCATCAATAAAGCAAAAGTATCGAAGAGCGATAATGACCGATAGAAAGAAACATGATGAAACAAATTCTACTATGAGAAAATTAAAAAATATTTGATGTTGTTTACCCTAAAAATGATAGAAAAAATTTAATTAATAATTTTTAATGAAATCAATGATAAAATAAAATATACATACATACATATATACATATATATATAATCAACATTGCTTGCATATCTGATATAATTATCAATGAAAATTTCATTAATAATTTCAAAAATTCATTAAAATTCCTCGGTCTCTCTTCTCTTCCTATTTATTTTTTATTTTATCTTAGAGATCTTTATTTTGCAATATCCCTTCCTTGTAAATTTAATGCTAACAAAACCTTTTATCTTCCCATCTTTAGTTTGATTTCTTGTCCAATAACATTAGGGTTTGATTTTAGTAATATTAGTTTATGTAAGTGTTAATTTTACAGGATTTCAGTTTTTGAAAAAATTTGGACCTTATTCTTTATTTCTTAACAATCATGAATTCGGGTTTGGTTATGTTATTTATTTCATGCATCATGTCAAAGGTTACTTGACCCCGTTCATGGGACTCCATGAACAAGACCTAGCTGCCTCCCATATTTTTTTCTAATTTGTGCAGAATTGTTGTTTTTTATGATGGGGAAGCAGAGCATATAAAGGAGATAAATGTTTGTTATCAGAGAATGATAGTTTTTCTCATTAATAAAGAATGGAACATTTTAGGAATTTAGGGCTACTATTTTTTTCAAAAAGAATATCATCATGGTTTATAGTTCCAGAATAAATGCTTGATTTTGTTAATTAGTCTTGCGGAAAAATCTTTATAGTAATAAGCTAATACTGGGTCATCTTGTATAGATTATAATTTGTGTTAAAGCAAGAATTTGCATGATTTCTCTATGCTTTATAATTTGATTCATCTTTGAATTGTGTTCATTGTTTTATTTTAGGTACCATATATACAAAAAGAAACAGGTCTAAGTCCAACAAAAGTGTTACCGCTTAATCAAGTAATAATATCAGTGATTGTGTTGTAAATCTTGGTGACGATAATAAAGATATCTAATATAAAAGTTATAAATCAAGGCTCAATCACTAAGAAAATAAAACATGCATTCTTTTTTTGATAGAGCCCATTTCACGCAAAAATATAGCAAAATGAAAAAGCAATCTATTTATGTAATTAATATTTTATGTCATTATGTTGTTTATTTGTTTTGAGTTATTTTTAAGTTTTATAATAACATGAAAATAACTTGCTTAAATTGATTTTGAGATGTACAAATATTAAAGTTACTCATTCCATCACATCTAAAATGAAACGGTCATTCAAATAACTATTGTTTCAATGGAGTTAACTTTATCACCATCCTGAATGAATGTATAAAATAAATACTTGGTGGAAAAAGTTTAAAGTTAAATAAATAATCTCTTATATATTCAAGTTCCTAGGAGAGTGTGAGAAATTCACAATGAAGCTAAGTAAATTTAAATCAATTAATTTGATTTTTTATAAAATGCCCACAAACAAGCAATTAAAAAGGCTCACTCAAATCATAAAGAGAAATGTGAAAGCTATAAACCAAGGCATTCTCACACAGAGTAATTGGGAAATGTATCAAAAATTTATGGTTTTATAAAGTTTTACAAACACTCACAATCTTGTATATAAAATAAAAATTTAAAACAATGGTTTCGATTAGTAGGTACACTCGAATGAGTGATTCTATTTATCATCTATGTAAAGAGTGATTCTATTTATCATCTATGTAAAGCTCCTAGTAATAGCTTAAAGCTATTTAATTGACAAGAAAAACAACTTAGACAAAAACAAACTATAATAAATTTATATGAGGAATCTTATAAAGAAGGAGATGTCGATAAGAGCGGAAGTATTTATTATAAGTTTTTCTTGTATTATTGATTTAACATTGTTTATTTACATTATTAATTTAAAATATCCTTATCTAATTTAGGAATTTGGCTTTTTTTGTTTTGTTTTGTTTTATTTTATAGGAAACATATCACGTTAACGCTAGCATGGTTGTGAAATTTAGTGAAGATACTTTCACATATTCTTTTTATAATCATCAAGTGTGGTTAAAAATTACTACAAGTAATGGACCCTATAAGAATTAAATTTATGATTTGCCTATGGTATCAGCCCATGAACCGAGAATAAATGATGTTATTTTGACTGTAATTACACCACATTCGAATTCAAGTTATACATTAGAGGACTTTGATGAGATTGTTCATAAAAGGACTAAGAAACAATTATCTATTAAGATGCTGAATATGAGTGCTAAACTCCAATGAAAAAATAGAATTTATTAGGGTTGAATAAATGTAGTTATGGGTATACATTTTCCCTCTTTGTCCTAGATCTTATGGTTCATGATCTTTCTCTTCCCCTCATCTCCATCTTTTTAAGAATTTAAATGTTGTTTATATCTATATTTGTTTAAAAATATTTGTGTATGGATGGAATTTTGGTTATCTGTTGTGCTCTATTTAAATTAATTATGAAATTTATATGTGTAAATTTTTGGAGATAGGTTTTTGTTATTGTTGTAGTTTATTATAAACTATCTAATTGTTGTAACTAGAGATGGAAAAAAAAACTTTATCAGAAATGCTATGGAATTGTCCGTGTTTTTGTTGGTATTTTCATATAAAATTTTTATAAACCTTACATAATGGATAGAAATTACTGATAGAATAACAGATAAAAAATTTTGTTAGGAGTATAAACGGTGATGAAATTGCCACAATGTCCTATCAGTAATTTGGTTGAAATTGAAAAATGATGATTGAATGGCCGATAGAATTGAAAGCCCGATGAGATACCTTTCGACAATGGTGTTCCGTTATCGATTCCTTCAACGTTTCTCAATGCTGACAAGAATTTTCACAATACAAGGATGAAATACTCTGTCATATTTTTAAATTTTGTAGTAGTGATTACTTAGATAAACCTATTTATGATCCTGGTACTAAGCAGTCAGTACTCTAATCAATGGAGGAGTATGATTAGGCACTTCGATAAAAGAGAGGAGTCTAGCTAGCACCTAGCATGGGGTCTGTAATCGGGAAGAAACAGACCGGTAAGACTTTATCTCCTCCAAAATGACATTCAAGTGATATGCACAACGGCATAAAAAAAAGAGCAAAATGGAGAAGAAACTTGAATGGATGGATTCACTAGCTAGGTGGAGGGGATTATTTCTTAGCACGCTTGCCCAGAGGAATGTTTTGGGGGTCCCTCTCAAGACCAAATTGAGAGGTGAGCTTGTTATATTTTCCAAGTCTGTGAATATTAAAACAACAAATAACATGCAGTAATGATCGTTTAATGGATTTGGGGCCAGCCGCTATATCGAGTGGGTGACTAAAAATTATATTAGGTAAGCTTTTAGTTGGGGCAGGTAAATTAATTTGTTTCAAAGTACAATTTGTTTAGATGCCATGTTTAATTTATTACGATTGCACTTTCAAAAGAGATTTGGACAGTAAGAAGCTAATCCTAAAGGTGGGACATGTCAAGTAGTTCTTCTTTGGCTTCTGAGTTAGCTAGCTTGTTCCATGAAGTGCATTTCATGGTTGGAAGAATCCCATCGACTCCAATGGGTAACAAGTCAGACCTGACATACAAGACTGGTTTGGACATAGAAAGAGATGGGAAAAAGTTGGAGACAGTTGGGGTCACACAGAAGCACTAACCAGCCTAGCTCGCAACCAAGTTGATATGTAACTGATAGAATATTTTTTTCCTTGAAACTTCTTCCAAATCTCAGTCTCATTGCATACATTGAAAGCTTAAACTGAACCAACTCTGGACACTCAATACAATAATACTTCAGGTGCAAATCCTGATAGAAGACTTCATGAATACAAGTCTTACTGCCATGAGAAAACCCAGACTCATATTCAAATCTTCTTCTATCTTGAAAACATTATACGAGTAAGAACCCTTTTTGAAGCCAAAAACCAAATGAGCTTCAAAATTTTTACACTGCTCAAAAGAGTGAAGAGCAGAATACAAAGCAAAGCAAAAAAGGAAACCATATGTGTCCTATATATGTTAGTCATGAACAGCTTTCAACATGTGACCCAATACCATGTGAAAATGAGTGAAAAGAAAGAATGATATAGTGGTTTCTTGGGCTCCTTGTCTCTTTCTTCTCTCTTTTACCATGATCCTCCACCAAACATTCCGTTCCAGTATCCAGTACTTGAAGTCCCTTGTCCCTTGTTTTGATCAACTTCATTTGTGCTTGAAAGCTGTTTCAGTTCACCAAAAGGAAATAAAAGCCTTCCATTATGTTCTTGAACTCCATATCTACTTCCAAGCCCATCAAGAGAAAAACTCAGAGTTGGTTTCAATTCTTGCAAAGGGAATCCACCCGAAGAATAAAGTGTGTTTGAATCCGGCATCGGTGTTGGGATAAAAGAATTCAAACCCCTAGAAGCAATTCCACTCCTTAGTAGCTCCAGAGCTGAAATAGGAGATGAAGTATAGGGAGAAGAATAAGAGTTATGTTGATTGTGGTTGTTGTTTTCAGTTTTGGCCACTTCAGTATAATGAGATATCCCTTGACTATCCTGCATAGCTGGGAATGCCAGATTAAGGTCTTGACCTTCATGGCCGCTCTTAGGATTCTGAGAAGAGAAGTGAGAGAGGTTTGGTGGGTTGAGATCGGGGAGCTTCGACGGAGCTGCAGATGCTGCTACTGATGATGATGTAGATCTCTTGTTCTTTCTTGAACCTCCTCCAACAGGAACGTTTCTAAGAGATCCTCCTTCAGTCCAGTACCTTCTGCAAGTCTTGCAAAAATATCTTGGTTGTGTGAGACTGTAGTTGTTATAGTAACAAAACTTGGTATTGGTTGAGTTGCATCTTGGACAGTTCAACTGCTCTTGAGGCCTTGCTTTTCTCTCTAACACAGGCCTTCCGCATGTATTTGATGTCATCTCTTCCATGGGTCTTGCCAATTTAATATCCTGCAAACCCTAGAGTACTGAGATGATGAAGGAGATCCATAGCGATATTGTACGAAGTAATCAAACCATGCAATCTTGAAACCTTATTAAGAGATGGCTGATGGGATAACAATTAGTAGATCAAACAAAATAAAAACGCATAAGGTTTCTTTGTCTGAAGAATTACATGAAAGAGGAAATTAATTAACTCCATGAAGTAAAAACAGAAATGAAATTAAAGAGGGGAAAAAACCCTAAAAGAACAAATGATAATAGCAAATTATGCCTTTTCCCTTTCCTTTATAAGTTATCACATGAGCAAAAAAGTGAAGAAAGAAAAAGTTGAATGGTTTCATGCATGGTTCAAAGAAGAAATTAAACTTTACCTTTCCATAAAGAAAATTCAAATAGAAGGGACCTGCACTGTGCATGAAGATGATCTCAAGGACAAACAAAAAGAGAAAACAGACAAACAACAAATAATATTCGATCTCTCAAAACAAACTACTGGAACATGGTCGATCATATATAACCTTAAAATCCCTAAACCAGAGAAACTCATAATTGTACAAAGAAAATTTTATATAATACTTTGCAAAACAAATATATATCTACCCACCCGTGGCCATGAAGCAGCGTCCATAAATTCAGAAGAAAAGGGGAAAGAAAAGCAACTGATGACTTCAGAGAGAGAGAGAGGGAAAGGGAAAGAAGGATCGTGTTCACCTCCTTTGTCTGCAGCTGTTCTTAGTGCAAGAAAGAATGTTTTAGATTGTTTGTATGCTGGCTTTATGTGCGAGTTCACTTTATGAAGATGGAAAGAGGGTGAAAAAAAACACAAAGCAAGAGAGAGGGGCGTTAATTTGTTTTGACTACACCACACGCATAACAGGAAGGGGAAGGGAGTAGTATTAATCGCATTTTTTAAGTTGGCAGCGCTGGTTCAATCTTATGTGAGAATTCTTTGTCAGATCTTCGTTCAACAGTGGGTTGTCCATTTGTTTATTCATCGTGGGTGGAATTATGAGTGTATGTACTGTGGGTGGGTTCAACTTTTTGACCTTATAATGTACAAGTCCTTTGATTCTTATTCAATCTCTTGTTACCCTCCCCTGTTGTTTTCCTTTTAGTGCATGTTTTCTTTTGGACCACTCATGAACAAAGGTTGGGTTCTGTTTGGTTTATCAAAAAGATAGGATTGTCGATTACTTTAACATCCTCTCCTGCATTTTGTCAAAAGATCCTTTCTCACATATTGGCAACTTTTTCGTGCTTTCGGAGGCAACTTCCTGTTCACCCTATATATATATATATATTCTTTGCTTGCAGATTAATTAAGCTAAGCTCACACCAGTCCATCTGGTATATGTTGCGAACTTATTTTCTAATTGGTCATTTTTATTTATTTATTTTCAACCTCCATAAAGCAATATATTGAACCGGCCTTAGTTTTGGCACAATTCGTCCCATCTTCACATCCATTGATCAGAACTCAATCTTCATTTACATTAAGCTCCTTTTGAATAGGTATCATAACGGCACTGCAGTCCCAGTACTGTTGATTAATCTTGTTGCAAGCGCTTCAGCTCTATCCTTTCAGAAACAGAACCCATTAAAATCAGATTGGATTCAAGCCTGTTGAACAGAATGTGGAGGTTCGTCATGTGGTCTCAATTTGAAAATTGACAGTACAATATCTGAGAGAAGATATATTAAGACGGCTCAGGTATTACGGGTCGCGGAGTCAAAATCTTCAAACCTTGAACTAAATTAAGGATCTATTGTTTACTTACCAGCTTCGCCTGTATTTCTATGTTAATGTGATAAATTAGTTTATATTAAGGGGCCGGATTGTAAGGAAAGCTCTACATTCAGAAATGAAAATGGAAAGTTCATGGAGAGAGAGGGGAGCCGACAAAAGCAAGATGGTGGGGGCCCAAATAATGCGCGGTAGAATGGAAGGGAAATTCCTTTGTTGGATATCTTTATAGGGATGCTGACAGCTATGGCTTCGAATTCTTCGAAATAGCCAAGGAACCGAATCTTACTCGCAGTTTCAGTTGGATTATTGATTGCTTGTTCTCCCATGCTGCTGCCTTCTCCAATTTAAGAAGCTGCGTGCATAGCCTCATTGATATCACCATACCATGATATTAATATATTTTCCACCAAACACAAAATGGTGGTGAAAGATGCTTAATGTTACCATAAAATGTGTTGATCAATGAACATCGTCGTCGTCGTCGTCATCATATCTAAGATTTGGCAAAATTACATGCAGTGAGAGACCTCTCCAAATTTTGCGACCATCGATCTTATGCTTGTTCGATCATCAGTTGGGCTGGAGTTCGGGGGCTATGGACCCATAACCCACTTGTGGCCCCACTGTAGATGGCACGGCGGAGCCTGATTTCAAGCTAATTTTGGAATCCCTGATCGTGTCTGGAGGTTGAGTTTAGAAGCTCTTATTATAGAAAAAAACTGATTGCAGGAACGGTAGGTTTTTTTCCCCTCGGATGTTGCACGGGAGAGAGAATTGTAGAAAAAACTAATTGCCATAGAAGAATTACTGTACATCCTACGATGAACAGGAACAGTAGTTATAGTTATTTTTCATCGGTGTTGGTCGCAATTAATGGAGAGAGAAAAGGGACAAAAGGAAAATAACAAAAAAATTGGCAGCAATGCAAGGCATTCGAACTTGCTATCTCAAAATAATTTTTTTAAAATAAAAAAATTATTTTATTATATTTAAAAATAAAAAATATTTTAAAAATAATCATAATTATATTCTTAAATAAGACTCACTGATAACACGCATTACACTATAAGAAAAAACTCGTTATAATAATTCTAAAATCATTTAAGAAAGCTTGGACAAAACCGGTGAGGCTATCTCATATATTGGCATTTACAATGATAAATCTTTGATAATTTTTTTATTATAATTTGTGATTTTTAGATAATTCTTCAAATTAGTCTTGAAAATGTAAGAAATGAATAGTAAATTGTCCACGAGCAATTAACATTTAACAAGTTAATTCAAATTAATATATTATTGTTTTTTATTTTAATCTCTAAGCTTTTCTTTTATTATTATTATTCTTTGGTGTTTCATCTGTTAGCCAAGGTTTGAAACAACAGCACTAGATTTACCTAGGGATCTAAAATAGGTTTTCGAACGGACAACCAGGCGCGTTTGCCGTGACCCCTAAAACTTCCGGCAACGCAGGTTGGTCTCAATGTCCCTTTTGAACAGGAAAAAAGACTCCTTTGTTTTGGACAAAAACGTCTCCTCGCGCATTAATTCTACTGAGGTGTTACAAGGTCAAATTTAACGTTTATGTGCGTTGAAATTGCTTTACTTTTCACTTTCAGTAGTTTCAATAGATTTTGGGACGTAGTGATGAGCGAAAGTTCTTCACATGTTCCTTAATCCCGATTCTTCTGAGAAGAAGTATATTTTCTTTGACAGTTTATTGAAGCAGAATTTAACATCATCATTTTACATGAATAAAAGGGAGAATCGAGAAGGGTAATTAATGCTATATAAATCTCAATACGACGGCACTACATCAATGAAGCATAAATCATATGATGGTCAACATCTCTTTCTCTTCTTTTTTTCAAAAATGAAATGATTGCTACAGCGGAACTTGTTATGAACAAGAATGACCGAAACAAATCATGTGCTAGATCTCGTTCTTGCTTTGCTTTAACAGGAACCAAATCATGAAAATCCGATTTTAGCCGATCATAAATTGACTTGCCGCAAGGCACACGAAGGTGTTCTTATTCGACGACAAAAGACCAAGACCTGTCCTAATAACGGGATAAACATGGAGCTGGTGGATTACCAGTCAATTTCCTCCCGCTTAGTACAAGCAAGCCTGCATCTTGTTCTTCTGTTGCAATCACACCCGCAGATTTACCAATAAAGGACAAAAATGATGAGGTGATCGGGTAGAAAGTGCGGTAGGGTTCATCGGTCTCTGAATCCGGCCCGGTTCTCATTAGGCAGGCCTGGGTGAGAGATTCCAGCCCACGAAACCAAATGCTAACTTCACGTGTTTATGGGCCAGCATTTGATGTATATCCCCAGTTCATGTCAGTGGCCCAACTAACGAAAGGTTGCTTCCTCTTGCGCGGCCCGAAAATAGCCCAATAAAAAAACCTCCTTTTCGAAGAGCTGGATCGAATTGAAAACTATGCTAGGAGGATAGGGCTGATGGGTCCAGAGAACTACCGCTCTATTCATATAATAATGGAAAACAGAGAGACGTCTATGGGATTAACGTTTAACTTTTGCATATTATTTATTTATTATATTTAAATTTAATATTCGTTAAAGCGTTATGTGTCTCATTATTATAAATATTTTTCGATACATCTATGAAACATATTTAAACTTTATACTTCAACCATTCTTTTATATCCTAAATCACTTCATGTATTAACATTTAACCTTTATTTTCTAATTCAGAAGGAAACACAACCTTAAATCTTCTTCTTCTTTTAAAAAATATCCTTAATCACTTCATGTATTAACATTTAACCTTTATTTTCTAATTCAGAAGGAAACACAACCTTAAATCTTCTTCTTCTTTTAAAAAATATTTTCTGTTCAAACTTTTCACTTCATATCAACATCTTAACCTTAATTACCAAAAGGATGAGAGTCAAAAGAGACTTAATATTTCTATCTACATTTGGATATGAATTTATAATCTGAACCCAATGAATATTAACCCGAATAAGTATGTAATTTTTAAATAATTACTTTAGCTGATAAGTAATAAATAATGTATAAATATTAACCAATATTAGAAATCGTGTTTTTTAATATAATTGCCATTCTGAATCCCGCTATTCTCACTCCGAATCGCGGTTTTAATATATCTGCTCATTTGCGCCTTGAATTATCATCTGCAGATACTTAACGATCTGGTGCAGATGGCCATGGCTCCTCTTCTGTCCACAATATAGGCCAACCTTCGTATAGTTACGCTGCTGCTCTTGGTGCCTCCTTGTCTAGGAGTACGACTCCTGATCCTCAACACGTTGCCAGGGCCCTGAGTCCATGTCCTACACCCAGTGGACAAGGGAGAGTTAAGCGCCTTGTTCCATCCGGCGCGAATCCCCTCCATCACTTGTATAGTGGAGGTGTTATTTGTCTTGCAATAATGAATAAATGTACGAACACAAATAATGAGCAGACCAGCCCACTTTTATATGTGGGTTCATTTCATAATTTCTTTTTGTTTTGAATAAAGAAGCGCGCGTGTAAGGCAGGTGTTTTTCTCGGTTGATGGATACCACATCTGAAAAGAAAGGCCCTGCTAGTTCAAACTCATCCATTGGTGTCTCATCTGGTACTCTCAGGGAGCCCTCAGAGTTGGTAGCTGCGTTTTCTGGCATGAACTTGGCAATAAATGGCGGAGCAGATGAAGAAAGCCATTTTCCATCACAGGTTGAACAGGATGTTGACAGCCGTCAGAACCATCTCTTTGGTCTCCAAGGCGGTCGGAATCATCGGAAGCAAAATGCATACATGAAGAACTCGGAATCTGGGCATTTACACGTCTTCTCCTCCTCAATCTGTCAATTTATCATATTCTGGTTTGGCTAAGGGTTAATATTTCTTGAACTGCTATTATCAGTAGTAGTTGTTTAATACAAATATTAATAACAATAACGGTTATTTATTTAACATAACCGTTATTTTTATTAGCTGCTAATAATTCTTATTGACAGTTAAGGGAAAATATACTATTTTTCCAATATTTTTCTATCATATGTTTTATACTCTAATCTCTTGTCAAAATGTGCTAGTTTAGTAAATAATAATTAAAAAATAAAAACTTGAGAAATCTGATACACGTGTAACCATAATCATCCCTGGCAACATTCACAAACTTCTGTTGATTTAAAAAAAAAAGAAATGAGAAAATAGAGACGCTTTTAATTTGGTAAATAGAAGATGTAAGTACCAAAGCCGACATCAGACGGTAGATTTAGATTTTTTGGAGTT